TGCCGGTGTGTTTCGGCGCAAGCCGCATCGAGCAGCTCACTGACGACGATGACGCAGGTTTGACACTGTTATCGAACTTTTCCGCATAAACTTGTATATTCACGGAATGCACCCTGTCAGAAAAGCATGCCAAGCTGTCAAGTAAAATGATACGTTCGTCATGTTCTTTTGGCGGGAATTGTGAAAAGCGCCCAATCAAATGGATACAGGCGTAATTTTTTTTTGTCGTCGCTGTTTTGGTGCAAAAAGTGGATCTTTACACTTGATTCTGCTAGCGTTTCTTTTTTTCCTGACTCGGATCCAGCTTCCCATAATTTGTGGAATTTTTTCGAATTAATCCATGGTTGGAACCTTGTTTTTTTATTCTATCTCAAATAATGTGCAATTTGCTTTCCAATTTTAACATCGCTTTCCCACTCATCTTTCTGGAAACTGCAAAATAATTATAAGCTGCACAACATAGGACTGATAAAATGATTTTTGCTTGATTTCATAGGTTTAAGCATTAGGCTGACCTCTTTCCTTTTAAAGGAAACGAATGCGGTCCTCACAATGTCCAAAACAACGTTGTTTTTTTTCCAGTTCTTGATACCGCGCTATTTATTAGAATAATCTAAGCTTCTCCAAAGGAATGAATCATCTTGAGCAGTAAATTCGAGTAACACATGAGCTATGAGGTCATGTGAAGCTAGGTGCTTATAATCATGTAAAACAGCTCTTCTAGCCGACCACTCTCAAACGAATAAATCCTCCACAGAAGGCGGCATTACGACTGACGACGAGCTAGAAAGCCGCATGAGCAGACGTTCATCTGTCTTAGTAAGTTTTTCTATAGCTAAATGCCCGCGCTAACTTTCCGACTTGTTATTGCCTGTCAACTCAGGTGGATCTCATCTCTTTGTTTCGCCGTTCATCGAGCGTGTTATTACGACCGCACACAAGTACGCGAACCGCTGGTGTGGATGAGTGAGTGATCTTGAGTGCTTTGGACTGATTTCATTACTACTATGTGTTCTGTTCACTGCGGTACATGAGCGATTGAGCAAACAGTGTTGATGTAAATAGAACGAGGATTAAAATGATAAATTTAGTGGCGAAGACGATGAAGATGAGGAAGACACACGGACAATGTCGAAGGATCGAATACTCGAAGCAATTAGGCATAAACGCGAGATAATTGGTAAACTTCGCAGTCAACCATGGAATATGAAACGAAAGCGAAGGACATTGAAGTGAGAAAATCTTACAAAAACACAATTGTTCTTTAGAGTGAATTGTTTTGCTAACAAATTCTAACGCACACGCCAATTCCTCTTGTAAAGGCATCCTTGCCAGGTATATCTTGTGTATGTCAATAAATTAGGTTTAGCTAGGTTGAGTACAATCCTAAATATGGGCTATATGGCTATCTTAACCTCTTAGTATCGTCGTACAATAATGCAGAGCTCAGAATAGACACTTTGAAATTTAAGCTCCTTCATCCAAAATATAAAATCAAATTGAGAATTGATACGGTCAAGTTTCGTTTGTTAATTTTAGAGTTGCCCAGCGCCATCTTCAACGGCAAGAGGCAAAAGTTTCAAAAGTACGGTTATTTAAAGCTGAAGCAGGGAGAAGAATCACCCTAATGAGCCGGTGGTTCGACAACATCAAGATTTATCTCATACCATGGGAAGCGAAAATAAAACGCATAGAAAGTGAGTCTTTATTTTTTGGACTAACTCAGTTCAGCTTAAGTGCGTTCACTAATTATCTTATGTGATAATGCGATTTAATGCGACTTTTCTTGTGCTGTAATTTGTGTAATTTTTCAATCTTTGCACTATGGAGCTAGAAGTACAAAGTTGTAGAGGTATCAACATCCAGCTGAGCTTCATAGTGCTGACAGCTGCTGACAATGACTTTTCATATTAAACACCAATCAAAAGAGTTAGGCTAGCTGATGAACAGCAACGGAGTAAATTCTTGAATAATCTATGCTTTTAATAGTGTGAAATATATTATTCGGCGAATAACGGTTGTTGAGAGATTGGCTTTATCTAGCCGAAACCTAATTATTTTAGGTCACTTTGGATCCGTTGTTAGTTCTTATTTCACTTTTTTGCGATGGACTCTTGGAGTCAATGTTACTATGACTGTTATAATGTTAATGTTTGTCATCATTCCAGAAGTAAGTTTTCAATTTTCAATTATTTTGATCTTTTTTATAGAGGCACAAAATTTTCGCTTTGATTCTTCTCTAAAGTCACCTCTAAAACTATAGGATTGCTAAAACTTCTTGTGGCCATCCAGCTGATGAGCCTGTCAAATCTCTATCTCGTAAGATATCCAATTCTCCCTTCTTACATACTCTTGCTGTAAGGAAAGTTTTTATCTTCACAGCAAGAGCATTTGCAGAATGAATTGTTGAGAATGTGTATTTAGATTCCTACTCGCTATATTGCATAATTTTATGAGTATAGTTTTCAGTGGTTAGCAGATTCCCGTATGACCGTTTCATCTGAACGCTATAATCGTACGAAATCCTTAA